CCCCCCCCCCCCCCCGCTCCCCCCAAATCTTATGGAGCGCGATCGAATTAACACCGCCTTTTTCCTTCAATACGCAACGAACGCTCAAAACTTAAATGGTCCCAAAAACATTTTAGGCAATTAGGCACAGCTTAACTTCGGCACATGATGGAAAACCGAAATGGGCATGAAAAACTTGTGAACTGCCGTGAACGTTCATATGGCGTTAATGCAGGAACCGGAACTATAAGCCGACAAATCGATCTGATGACCAGTCTTTGAAGTGAATAGAGCCGAGTACTGGTCACACCCACCCTTCAAAACGGCCCTTGTTTTGCTAGTCACTGCTTGAAGCCAGTAATTGTAATCTACTTATATTATGATTACTGAAAAGCTGAGCCAAATATTTCACTTTCGGGGAAACTACTATAGCAACGCCTACCAAATCCTAAAAATCAAGAGATCCAAAGAACCGAAGGTAGTAGGGGAAGGGTAGAGGTTGATTCTCTCAAATTAGCAGAAAAGTGAGAGTAGGTACATATAAGTAGAACATAAAAAGGGGGACTGTAAAACGTATACAATTAGCAATCAAAAAGGTAAAGAGCCAAGCATTAAGCGTGGAACACTTCATGCAGCGTGCGCCATGCATTCGGCTTTCTTTGAGACCGTCGGAGTCTCGAGTTGCGCACTTTGTCCACAAAAAATCTTTGGAGAAATAACTCGATGAAGTTCAAAAAAAGCAGGACCAATACATCGAACCAGAGGTTGAAAACATTGCATGGCATGGCCCATGAATGGTGTCGTCTACTACGAAAACATTTGAAATCCGACGAAAGCAATTATCGCTGGATACTTTAGTCAACAATCGAAATGGCTGAATAGTAATCCATGCAGAAATGAACAACACAGCTGCTTCAAATAGCTGAAAGTCGATTGGCTTTTATGAAGGTGCAAAGAAGTATGTTGCTATGTCGACAAAGTTCATATTTATAGACTTATAACAGGAATTCTCGTCTCCCCACTCTCTCCCCTTACTCCCTGCGTAATCAGGAAACTCGTCCGATACGAATGCACCCGGAAGATTCCCGATCCATTTTCCTTGGGGAAATCAAAAATATGAATACTCAATTGATACGCTGTTCAACTGGCTGAACGCTCAACTCTCGTCTGATAATCGGACCAATGTAATATAGCTTTTAAAAGAGACCACCAGAAGGACTTCTTTTGTATACGAATGTCTTTTTGCTGAAAGAACGTCTAAAAACGACAGAAAATTAAGCTGGTAATGAACGAAGCGAATCGAAGGCAATTGAAAAATAAATCTGATTCCAAAGTAAAGTAAGAGCAGTAATGTTGAGGTTGAGAAATGCCAATAGAAGAGAACGGAAATCGCCCAGCTCAAGCGGACTTATGGATTTTCGTACTTCCTTAGGCTACACTTTTCCCACAACGCAGTGGCGAAAGAATTCCGTTAACATACCTGGGAAAGTGACGGTAGCCCCTGTTTTCTATGAAAGAACAAAGGAATGCTTGAATGGGACCGGTAGGATGGGAGACGTCCAAAAAGCCCATCATTCACATGAGTTTAGTTGATAAGTTTTTCAAATGTCATTAGGAGTGGGAGCTTATGAAAAGACAAACCGCCCTAATAAAGCCCTTTACTTTACTGATTTTCCCGTTATTACAGTAATTCTCAACTTCTCTTACCATCATAATTACTCGAGATTGGTTGCCGATTGCTACAGCTGAGGGCCTGTGATAAAACTTGGTCCTGCCTGAGATAATGAAGCCCAGCAAGTTACGCATGTGCCACTAGGTCCGATTTTTAGCAGCGCGCAGATGTGTCGGTGAAAGCGCGAACGATTTGGCAGTATGGGCCCTACATATGATAACCTAAGCTGGGCATTTTGATGGGAGGAAACTACACGGCATGAAGGGCATGAAGTGAAAGGGTTTTCGGCTGTCATGCCGCATACCGCATGTCAGCGCGCCTGGAAAAT